TAATATAAATATAAATATATACACATATAACTCTTTGTTGTTGTTGATTTGATGCTGTAGCTCAATTGATCTCTATTCTTGTCTCTATTCTAATCTCACTGGATTGCTGATAGCCCATTGGTAGTTTAGGGTTGAGTGAAGTCACCGGCCGCCATATTGGTACTCCCTAGTTAGATCAGTTGCAATGCAAACTGTCTCTCGTTCTCTATACATATAGAAAGAATAATGCACATTAATGTTAAATGATTTTAAAGAAAACATACTGTTTTCGTAATTCCTGCTAAAGGAAATATATTTTATTTTGATGGTTCACATTCTTAATAACCTTAATCCATTTATATATAGACCAACATTAATGTAACTGGAAAAGGGCTGGGCAGAACCAGTGCTTAATTATATCCCACACTTTACATCAAATCAAACAACTAAACAACAATAAAAGTCAATGTTTACACATTATGCATATTCCTGCATGTAACTCCAATGTCTATACATGATGTTATGTATTATTTTGTATTTCATTAATGAATTCAGGGGGTCCAGTCACTTTTTAAGCACATTGCTAAGTAATTAAGCCTGAACGAAGTGTTAATCATGTTATATTTAAAAAAAAAATTATCCATATTAATCTTGTTTTGAAGTGTTGATATATCACTTGAATTATATTTGGGTGAGTTGATATGACAAATATCCATGTTATTTTGGTGTATAGGCAGTATTTCTTTAAATGGAGTTATGTATTTGTATTTGTTCCTTAATTAAATGCCTCACAAGAAACATGTTTATAGAAATGGTGTGGGGCTTTGGGTGTTATTACATGTATTAACATTTTAACATCACCCTGTGTGGCTAAATGTTTCAATCTAGGTTTCCCAAAGACGGTAAGCTAAGAAAACGGTGGGAACGGGCTGTGCGGAGGGAAGATTTTGCTGCAACAAATAGATCGATGCTCTGCAGCGAGCACTTCAAGCCAGAGGACTTCGACCGGACAGGGCAGACTGTCCGGCTTAGACCCAATGTCATACCATCTGTGTTCAATTTCCCGACTTCTCTTCAAAAAGTATGTCCCTCCTGTGACTACGTAGGAATAATTAAATCTTTTTTGTCTGGTGTGTGGTCCCAAGGCTTTGTCTTCCTGTCTAATGGTTTAGACTTTGCGGTGTGTTTGTGACAATTTTTATAATTCGACGTTAAGGTTGTGTCTCTTATGTTGTGTCCTAGCAAAAAGGAAAGAGAACCAAACCCACTACAAAGAAAGCAGAGGAGAGTCTTCCTTTGGACTTGACTAAGCCTCGTAATAAAGATGAACCTCAGAAAAATCTTGCAAGTATTTAAATATTTTGTTTCCCAAAAAGGTAATGCAATCAACCATTTTTACAAAGCCATGCACACACATTAAATGTTTCCTTCCCTCTTTCCACTAGGACCACAACTATGCATTGCCGACTTCCCCCTCTGCTCTGAAGGCAAAGCTTAGTGAGGCCTTGGCAAGAGTGGAAAGCCTCGAACGGGAGAAGCGCAACGCTAACATCCGAGAGCTGAGGGCTAAGAAAAATGTGGATTCAGTTCTGGAGGATCTGAGGGAGAAGACTCTAATCAATGAAAATCTGCAAGAAAACCTTGAATATTACTCAGCTATGTTGTTAATACTATTTGGAAGTATTGTATACATTCATAGTAAAATTATGAGTTAAGCCTGTTGGTGGTTATGTGAAAAAAACTTCCCAATAGGTTAATGCCGAATCAATTTCAGATTTCCCAGTACACTCAGATGCTGTGTAAAGGAGTAACAGCACATTTAATGCATTTTTGGTTAGTGTTTGATATGTTTTGGATTATTGACGGTCCAGCAGTGAAAGATGGCTCACCACTTCACCGATCAGAGTGGTTTTTATTTTTTTTTTTATATCATGAAAATCCTCTTTGTGTTATGAGTTTATTTGATCTTCTGTTCTGAATTTATGCATCGATTTCGTAAGATGCTTTTTTTTCCTCTGGGTTGATTTGTTCACAACCTGCTTGTAGGGCTGAGCGATGCATCGATATAAAAAATAAATCGATAGATTTTGAAGTGAGACACGAATATCGATCAAATCCCATATATCGATATACGCATTTCGATTTTTGTTTTGCTTTATATGTAAACGCTGCTCTTGCTAGGATTTGTTATATTTATTTAATTTTTAGTCTTACTTGTTTACATCTGTGGATTTGTTGTACATTATATGCTGACATTCTACTGTCCTTGGAATCCCAGATAATCACTCAATCGGCCATTTTAAATAAAACTACTTGTGAAATTATATTTGGCTTTGACTGTGATTAAACCTTTGCTCCCACTCTATGATAAAAATATTGGGAATTACACTGATATCAACTTTCTGCCTAAAAATATCGGTACTTTTTTTTCCACCCTCTATAAATCTACATCACTAAACACGTTATTATCATTAAAGAAAATAAAAAAAAGACTCATTGTCCTACTGTTTCACATTCCATTTTTTATTAAATATTTTTTGGAATACTTTTTTCCAATTCTTACCTGTATTTGTTTTTCTGATAGAATATTTTTAGTCCACTTAAACACTTGACGATAGATTATTTTTTTCTGCTTTATAAGTAAGCCTACTTTCCACATCATGTTGCAGGTTTTTATGCTAAACAACACAGCTACAACACTTTATTTTTTTATCCTGAGCTTTTCTAACTTAATGCTCAAGAAAAGACTTGATTCATTATTTTTACTTCCTTTTTTAATACCATTCTGAACATTTAACAGATATCTTTTGAGTTCTATGTCATATTTCAATTTGTCATTTAGTATTTTTCTATGATTTTGCTTATGCTGAAAAGCAACCGGTCAGTTCTTGCCTAGGTTTGTATCATCCTTTCCTAATTATGACTCTTTTATTCTGATCATTTTCCTTCCTTCCCAAACGTTGTTTTATAATGTTAAGAGAAACTCTATTCTAATGTTTAACCAAGATATTTTATCATTATTTGGCATATTTGGTCTTTTTCTGGTTCTGAATCTCACATGTTTTAAGTATTGTAATTAAGCATGATTTAATGAACTAGTAATGCATCGGCACGGTGTTGTGGGAGTTGTTTTATTCCTACCTTTCCTTTCTTACCCAAGTAGCAACATCTGCCACTGCTAATTAGAGGAACTAGATGCATGTGATCCTCCTTATATATTCTGTATGTGATGCTGCAAATTATGCATGATGTAAATTATCTAAAGAGCCTGCCTGCCTCATGCTTTGGTACCTTTGCCAGACTGTGAATCATTGTGTATGACCCTAGCCTCCCTTGCTTCAACCCTGATCTCAAGCTCCTTAAAGAGGATCCCCATAATTCAATTCAGTTTCACAACACACGTCATCTCATCCCACTAAAAAAATTAATTTAATCAGAACATAAAGTCTTAGTTGAGTTGTCAACAGCCCCTTTTTCGACTGAAAGCCCTGCGACAGAAACTGGTTCCACTGGTTCCAGTGTGTGCTCCTGACTGTTTCTTGCAGTTCAATGACTGTAAATATAAACTGTAAACCTCGTCCAATGTTGTGGCTAATTTATTGGGTCACTTTCTTTATAACAGTAGAATCTTGCAAAACAGGAGTGGCGTTTAAGTGTAGGCCGTGCTATTTCAGGTTAGAGACACATATAAATGAAATGATCAACCTGCTTCATGCATTGCTGAGTTTCAATGTATCTGCTCAATATGTGACTTGAATTAGGATTTTTTTCAAAGAGTTGACTGATTTATTAGATCTCCTTCCAGGCAGCAGTCGTCCTAAAGGAAGGTTGTATCCTCTTATGGCTCCATAACATCATGAGTTGAGAGAGTATGTCAAAGACCCATTACAGGCATGGCCTGGTAAAGGCACATCGGGACTATATGAAGTGTGTTGAAATCTATTGTGGATCACTCATCCAAAAGTCTTGACACTTTATCCTTACATGCTCATTTTTATTGGGGTATGAAGATCACAAAGTCACCCCTTGACAGCTTACCTGCTCTGTGATCCCACTGCTCTACCTTACGCAGAATCTCATCCTCACCAGTCTTAAGTGATTTTACAGCCGCCTGGTGAGTTAGCAAAGGAAGACCTATATCTTTCAAAGAAATGGAGCATGGTGAATTACATGGCTAATTAATTTGGGACCAATTAAAAAAGGAAATAGTTGCCAAATTTTCAGCACAGAAAAAAATAGTACAAGACACAGAGAAATTCCTAAATCAATGACAGTCTAGCTAGAAATGAGTGGAAGCTGGTCAAAGTCACAGGAGTGTATCGTAGTGATAATGGAAATCATTACCAAACTGGAGCTGCTGATAAGTGATGTGACAAAGGATTATTAAGGGAAAAAGATTAATGTGCCAGTTTATCTTAAGAAGCAGGCTCATTCAGCAAACAGTTAGGCCTATTCTACTTAAAGCTGAGTAGCTCATAACCTTTGTTAAAACTTTATATTTTATCTATGACGCTGTTTACATTTAATTTCTTTTGAATTAAGTTTTATTTGACAATCACCAGCGATTTGGTTGGGAGTGTGGCTGGCATCAGTGACAACTGTGTATTTAAGTTGCTATTAATAAATGTAAAAATAACAGACCTAATAAGCTCAGATTGAAACATACGTGTTGTGTTATATTTAAAATTAGCATTTTGGAATTTATGTGAAAGGTTTTAAGGTAGAAACCAATGTTTAATGTTCTGTGTAGGTCGGATCAATATTTTTAGGCCACAGTCGATAGAGAGCAGCATATTTATTTTTCTCTGTTTGGAGGCTCCATCGTTATGGGTGAAGTGAAGCTTTTCAGGCTTTTAGACGGTGCTGCAAGATTTTTTTTTCACTAAACACTTCAATTTAATGTGGCAAATGGGGTAAATCATTTGAAGTTTATGTGCTTTTATGAAAGGTGGGTATTTATGTTTAATTGACTTGTCGAATTTGTTAAATAATTTAAATGTAACATAAGAAAGTGTCAGACTAATTGTTCATTCATTCAATATTCACCATTGTTTATTCTCTTAAAGAACAAATAATACGATGATGCATTTGACCAATTGGTACCATGCATAGGCTACATACTGTCTATGCATGGTACTTTTCTTCGCAAACGTTATTTCTTTCATTGTTTTCATTCATTTAATTTGTATGATTTTTTTTTTATCTTGAACTGATTTACAAAATGTAATATCTTGTATTATTAAAGTCATTCTTAGGATTGCTATTATTATAATTTTAGAATAATGACAAATTTCGTCAGATTTTTTATTTGAAAGAGTGGATGTGCAGTTATGTAATAAAAATATTTTTCATTCAGTTTTTCCACTTTTAAGGATGAGCAATTTCTTCATAAACCTTTAAAGATTTATCGTTGGTTTATGAATATTGTTTTTAAGGAAAAGTACAGTTTTAGGTGATGTTATGTTATTTTTAAAATAGCTTTTGTAACTTTAATTTATTGCATGAAAATGGGATCATTGTACAGGGTGAATATGAGTCATAATATACTCTAGCATTTAAAAGCACTGGGCTTTAAAGTCAGTGATCAAAAGGAAATGTTTGCGCTTTTTTTTAGACAATAAAAAGCCTCCAGAAACAGTTTATTTAAATCATTTAGTCAAGTATCATAGTTTACTGTACATTCACAACATATGGTAACAGATTTCATACCCTGTGACCTGGTATATTTCAAAATTAATCACGACGGAAAGTGAAAATATTAGTTTTTATTCACTTAAGAAAGTAAAGAGTCACCTGAAACTCTTTACCAGGGGAGTCAGAGTACCAATGAAAAAAAAGAGTAACAAAATATTGAATCTTTTTTCATAAGTTAGAGCAGAGGTTTCGGAACATTTCATCTTCTGAATAACAAATTAGTACCACAGACAAATCACGAGCCAAACTCAGAGTTGAGTAGCCAGCTAACAAGAGACACTTCAAACAGATAGTTTTAAATATTTAGTCTAATATTATAGTTCACAGTATGGTCATAATAAGAGCTGTCTTTTGGAATATATATATATATATATATATATATATTTGAATTATAATTAGGATATAAATTGTTCAATGGTTATTTTTATTTTGAGGTAATGATTCACGAGAAACAGTTTGGTTAGTATTTAAGTTACGTTATGGTCACAATATGTGATATCACCTGTCATTTTGTCTGCCCATATATTTTTGATATTACTCAATTATACCAGTGTGAAAAAAGCAAACAAAATTGTAAACATAACACAACTGCTTTATGTTTTAAGATTAACAATAATATTAATAATAATAATAATATACATTTACACTGATCTTGGTGCTCTCTTTTTGTATGAGTTAAGTTTAGGGAGAATTTCTATGGAAGTCACAATTTTAGGAAAGGGCTTGTTTAAATTATTACTTTTTTATTGCCCTTTGTTTGCCCCACCCTCTTTCTCTTCGGTCTCACTTATACAGTTGGAGAGTAGAACTCTTCTTTAAAGCCAAAATACAGTTTAAAAGCTTAATAGCCCCTCCTACTGTTTTAACATACAGTCACAGAATATGCTGCAACAATGGCTGGGTTCAACGGTGACACTCATAATGTGGATTCTTTGCTGTTTGACAGATTCCTCAGGTAAATGCTGGAGTTTAAGGTGGAGCTGCGAGGTCTCTCTGCCGGCGTGAATTTAGCTGAAGGTCGGTTTATTGAAGATTTCAGTTCATCATTCCTTTTCCTCATCAGTACCAAAGCAGGGGTCATGTGCTCTGGGTTGAACTGCATGAGGAGCAAACAGAAAAAGAGAAAAATTGGAGCAAAATGTAGATTCTTTCTTTACAGGTTGATAAATCTTTCAACAATATCTTTCAATTTTTCCATATAGCTTAAGCGCAACAAAAAAAAAAAATTTTTTGCATCAGAGTAAATGTAACAAATTGATATTTCATGATGCTATTATGAAATAAGTATAAAACACAAATGATGTGAACGTAAAATATGTCAGATGGTCTGCATTTATAAATCAAATTCAGATTTTGTTGTAGTAGCGCTAATTTACACTGAAAAACATGTTTTGTTTTAAAGCTTTAAAGTTTCAAGTCAAATTTGAGTCACATTCATATGCGGTCCTGAATCTGACTCTGATCTGGTGGAATGTGACATCACTTGGAACAACTAAGGCTGATTAGATGGATTAGACTTTGATGTCACTCTTCATTAAATTTGTCACAATTTTGAGCCAGACAAAAGTAGTTAGCAAAACAGAGAGGAGCTGAGATAGTAGCACTGGAAAAAATTATCTAAAATAAGTAAAATTTTCTTTAAAAAATTTGCCATTATTTTGTGATGGTCAAAACATCCGACCTTTTCTTATTTAAGAGCTCAATATCTTATCCCACTGGTAAATTTTTAATACTTAACTGCACAAAGCAAGAGAAAATACGCTTATTTAAAAAAATATGCCATATTTCAGTTTTTACAGTGATGCACAATGGAGAGACAGAAAGACATTAATAAACCGTGTTCAAACTTTGTTCAAGCCTAATGGAAAAGCTTGTTAGGAACCGCCTGGATGTAAACAATAGTTGGTTTTTAAATTTGATATACGACTCTTCAAACAGAGGCCTCTAATATACTATAGAGGTTAGCGAACATGTGATGATCTGCCTTGTTCTGGCCTAATACACTGGATGTCATCCAGTCCCCTGCAGAGCAAAAACAATCTAAAAATAAATTAAACATTCTTAAAAATATTGTATTTGTCCTCAGTTGGAAAAAGTAAATAAGACTATAGAATGAGGATTTTGTAAGCTAATTAGATATTACAGAATTAGATAAAGTACAGTAGTTGTTTTTTCTTTTGGTACATGAAAATAATCTAATTCCGTTGGCAAACTGTCCCATTTCAAGGATCAAATCAAGAAAAAATACGCTTACCTCAAGACAAATCGACTTTAATTGATCTCACACTGGAGAAACTGACCTCTGCATTTAACCCCTCTCCTTGGGGAGCAGTGGGCTGCCACTGTGCAGCACCCAGGGAGGAGTGTTGGATTAAGGGTCTTGCTCATGGAGCCAACGTGCAGGCAGTGTTATGTAGATTATGTAGATATCAATATTTTACAATGATGTGGAGCTTAGAGGAGAGGTGCAGATATATATAACCCAAAATCACCCTCAACATTATAATCCTCTGTATAAACTGGTCCTCTGTGAAATTGTTTTGGATGTGGAGAGACAATTTCTTATGGTGAAAGGCATCAGATCTCATGAAAACGCCACAAAATAAAGAGTTTTACTCTGCATTTATCTATGTGTTTCCCACCCAGTATCCACTGACCCAATAAATGGCTTCTAATAAGCACTTAAACAATAGTTATGTTACCATGTTTACTGTAATGCTGCTGATGATGATGTTGTTATTGTTCATATTGCACATGCAAGTCAGTTTGGAGCTTCACACAGTTCACAGTGAAGTCAGAGGTAGGCAATATTTAAAAGGTAATAAGAAAGATCACACAAAAACACAGCAGCCTTATTATGCAGGACAGATAACCTTTTCTTTTTTTTTTCTTTTTTTCCCCTGTTATCTTGCAAAAGGATCAAACAGTGTTACATTTAAAATTTGATAATAGTCTGCTGAATTTCATTTGACATATTCTAGTATTTTGATTAGCCCATAACATTTTTCACACAGTAGGGAAATGTGGGTGTGACAGTGGCTAAATATTTATGCTCCTCCTAACTAAACGTTCTCAATGTAAGGGTTGTTTTTTTTCTCTAGAGGTTGCAGTTGGAGGACGTGCAACTGTTATTGCAGCTGAATTTATTAAAGGCTGCAAAAAAAACCTTGCTGAGTGAATGTCTGTCTGTTACAACGGCACCAAAACCTTTACAATTTGGTACATATTAGGGTTAGACAGTCAGGGTTTTGTACAACTTCAGGAAGCTTAAATAAAAAATAAATAAATACAAATGTAACATTTTTTTTACAATCCATTTAGCAGTTAATAAAGATTCTTTCTCAGTGGCTGAAATAAACTTTATTGTATTATGTTATAGAGCTTAAAAAAGTGAATAGTGTATAGAAGACATTGGCAGTTTTGATAGGATGTTTTTTATAAAAATTTATAAAATAGTCTAGTCAGTGTCTAGATAGATAGATTAAAAAAACATATAAACAACCCCACCAACTTTAAAAGCTGAGTTTAAGAACGTGGAGCTACAGAACGTTGCATAGTGCCTTAAGTTGGGCCAGTACTGGGGAACTTAACAAACGTTATAAAAAAAATATTGCACCAAAATACCCTTTAAAACTGTTTTTAAAAGAACAATTTGAAAGAAAATTAGAATTACTGTTTGAATAAAAAAATAAACCTTTTGTGTTACAAGCAACATTTTGTTGTATTTCTGTTTCTGTATTTCTGTTTATCTTTATATCTTTCTTTTTTTTTTTTTATGTTAATGCTCACCCATCAGTTGCATTTAACATATCTTTAAATTGAAGAAGTTTTAAATAACTTTCGCTTTTGGTCGATTTTGGTTACCCCAGTGGACAAAGAATGTATTGCTTTGCCTGAAGGCAACATTTCCCATGAGGACCAGCGTGGTTAATACCACCTGAGATTGATTAAGCTACATTTCTATTTCCAGTGGCTGTGTGAAAACTAAAAGTGATGAGGTAATCAATGTAAACAATGTCATATGACGATGTTGAAAATAAGTAATGCTTAACTTTGGTTTTGTAATTCAACTAGTTGTAAGTAGACGTATAATCACAAAAAATAGTGTTGATTTAAGTATCAGATCTAGTTGTGAATACTCACACCGGTGAGAAACCGAGGAACTGGGACCTCTCTGTCACTTTGGGTGCTCAGGTCCCACATGGACTGGGTCTGGTCTGACATGGTGGAGTTCATCCCTCTCTTGTGAACCCCTGGTGTTCCCCGCTTGAGTCTTCTCATGATATCACTCAAAGAGCTAAAGTTCCCATTGTGCGGCACTCTTACGATTAAAGGCTTCTTCTCCTGAGAGGAAAGAAAGGATCTCAGGTCCTATAGCAAATTTTTTATTTATATTTAATTGTTTTAGCATGGAGACCCAGCTACTTACTCTGGTAGAGTCTGTGTTTGTACTGGAGCTATGATTGTCTGTGTTCTTGTCCTCTTCTGAAAAGGACTCCATCCTAGTCGGTGTTCTTCTCTTATAAGGATATGAATTGATTGGATCTGGTGGAACATCAATTCTAGTTACAGCCCTCTCATGTTGGTTTGGCTGTTTCTCTAGAGAGCGTTCCCTGGATATGCTCCTTTCTTTTGTATGCTCCGGCCTGCAGGACAAACAGCTTTTTATTTTTGAGTTCACATCAGTTTTATTTCACTCTGTTAGGAGATTCTTATATGTATTTGCCTACCTTTTTATTCCATCTGAAACTGGTAGGCGTGTTGGCTCTGAGGTTACTTGTGCATTGCTGTAGAGATTAAACAATTGTGAGTGAAGTTTTGCATTAAACCTGTGCTGAAGTTCAAAGTTAGTTCACTGTGAAAACAAAAAGTATGGTGCTAAGCCATCATTTTAGCTATGAAAAATATGAAAACAAAAATGCAAAACAGATCTTCAGAGCAGCTCAAAGGTGATTTACTTTTCCAATTCAGCAGACAGCCATTCATTTTTGCATCAGTGCCTTCATCAATATGCAGATCATATGCTGATGAAAAAACTGATTGAATTCATGAGAAGAGGATATGCAAATGTAAACATTTAACACGTAAAGTGTTTCTTCCTAATCTGGGACTCAACGGTGGCTGCAATCTATGTCTTTTTTTAGTATATTCTGAGAGTCAGCAAACTGACACACAAAAATATAAGCATTCATTGTTGCAACAAATGAGACCTTGGTCCTGTGCCCAACAATGATAAGATATTCTGTGTCCAGGTAAGTATATTTTGACAGAAATAACAATCTTATTGCAATTACTGTAGGTGTTGAGCAAGAATGCATCGTCTAAGCCCTTTAAACATAGACATGGATTTTATTTAATTCTTCTGGAGCTTCTTCTGAATCTACCTTTGGCAGTTAAATATAATACTGAACTTCCAGACAAATACTCCAGCAGATTTTCCTAAAAAATACACACTCCTCCCTTAGTTAAGTGGATCTGTTATGTTACCTGTTCCTTTTCAAAGGCCCTGGGAATCGTGCTATTATGCAAATTTGTAATGCTAAAATCATATGGCCCAAATTCTGAGAGAAAGGTGGGTAAAGGTTTAAACATAAAGAAGGAGATAGATGTAGAGGAGACCCTTGAATATCTTCCTCTAGACCTGGGCCCCTTTTTCTTATTTTACCTACTCATTATGCGACCCCCAAGACAACCTCTTCCACAACTGGACAAAGAAAAGTAAAAAAATCACTCTAGAATGCTTTTTTAAAAAGTTTAGCTGCGTTCTATACTCAACAGAATTGAACATTGCTATCAATACATAAATAAGCAAAAACAACACTCGAAGTATGTCCTCCATTTAATTCCTTTCTACCATACCTCCTTCAATTACACTTTTCCACCCCGAGGGAGGTGGACCTACCATTTGGGTACCACTGCACTAATGAATGAGCTAATGTATGAATATAATGGCCAATACCAATGAAGAAAAAATAATCTTAATATTGGGCCTCATTCAACAAGCGTTTGTGTGAACAATGTCACATTCACCATCTTTCTCCCATTTATAATCATCTCTCAAGTACGAATACATTTTACGAACACATGCTCAAGACTTGACGTAGGAATCTTGCGGAATCAGTCAGTCTAGTTTTTCATTAAATGACGAGAGTTGTTATTACTTAGAAGCAATTCTCAATTTTATTGGGCTACATTATGCAACCATAGATTATGTTTTTATTGGCTGATTGCAAAACTATTTGTCAATAAACCTAAAGCTGATATGTCTGTATCCAGGGGACACCATTTATTCAAAAGAAAGAACAGTCAGACATCAAGCTACTGTTGATTAAATACCATCTGAAAGTTCAGGAAGAGGCTTGGCAACGTGTTGCTGCTTGAAACTCCTCTAATGTTAAGACATGCATTCATTTAACTTCAAAGCCACCTTGGCTTTGTTCTTACATAAAATATGTAATGTAATGAAGGGATGACAAATGTGGTCTGGAGATGTACAGTACAGGTGTGCATGTGTGTTAAAAGAAGATTTTTGCTGTGTCACTTAAATGAATTATGCTGGAATGCATAATGTTGGTTAAACATTGGTTAAATCTGATATAGATCTCCCACAGTAGGAGGAAAAGTAAGTTAGAACAAGTATACAAGAATGTTGTTGCATGAGACGCAATGTCCACAATAGTTTGATTGATGTATCGCTTTAGTTCTGACCGAAACTTCCCCTGACCCAGCCCAAGGACAGGAATAACCCCCCAACGGGCATCCCCTGTAGATGGCTCACAGCCAGGGCCAACAGCCCCGACTAAGTGCCCTCAACCAAACAAACTCTTCTAATCTTCACTGCAACATCAGCCAGGGACAACCATCACTAAGCCTAGCCCCATCACCGCCACTAAACCAACCTAAAAGTCAGCCGCCCTACACCTGAAAAAGGATGAAACCCCTCAACAGGACCCTCTGCCTGAATATGCAGCAGCTCCAAACCAGCCTGGTTGACGTTCCGCCAACAGAACAACGAGCAGATAAGAAACCAGAGAACCCTGCCAATGTCAACAACCTCAGCTCTCACATTAATAAAACAAAACCTGTCCACGCCAGCCTGGAACTCACACCAAAGCCAACCCACCCCTCCATGCCAAGTACAACCTGCCAGCCACCGCTGTGCTGCCAGAAGGTGCACTTAACAGACCCACCCACCTGACAGCGACCTCAGTCGGCCCCAGGATAGGAGCCAGAGCAGCAGGCTACAGAGAACAGGAAGGTCAGTCCAGCACAACAAAGACTGCACACCCCACAAATTCCCCCAACACAGACCCAGAGGCATTTAAGCATGCCAGAGTGCGCCCCATCACAAAGCCCACCATTTTGCGTATGACCTATAAAGCTGATTGAACACAACTTAGTAAGGTCAAATATCCAACAGCTGCCACACAATGCCAATGGCACACACCACAACCAGGAGCTGTGTTTAGCAGACTGGTTATAACCAGTTTGGTAACCCATTACTCAATCACTCCAAGGCCCCAGGTCCATCCACAGCCCAGACCCCAAAAAGAACAGGTGGGAGAATCTGTTAACAGCTGTAGGCCCCATAAGTCTGTCATTAGTGACTACAGGAGTGTTAATTTTGACTACATATTTTCATTTAGATTTGGTCAAAGCCTTGTCAAATTTTCTGCTCTATATTCATTTTAGTTTTTGACCCAAATATTAAACCATTCAGGAATGACTTTTAAGGCCCTCTTGGAATCTAAAGGGAATTTACTCTGTACAACAAAAGAAAAGATTCATCCTAATATGGATTAAAATTACGAGAAATAAGGTCACAAACCTTTAAGAGATTGGACTTCTTAGCAGAACCTTCTGCTGAACCTTGGACTTCTTCTTGCTAACGTTTTTAAGTTATGCTCTAGTTTTTGTACATGAACAAAGGCCAATAAGAGAATATTTTCTCTATTTTTGCTGACAAATGTAGAACTATAACTTTAAGCCATGCAGGGTAAACAGCAGAGGCAGATAAAGGTGATCTTGTTAAATAAGACGTAAAACAAAATTTTCTCACCTATGTGTGAAATAATCTGAGTCTGAAAACTAAAATTACACAGTACCATGACACCTCTTCCTTATCCTAAAGCATGGTGGCAGAGGCACCATGCTGTGGGGTTACTTTCTTTAGGAGAAGCATTGAATCTCACTACAGAAAGGAAGATGAAAGAAGCTAAATAGAGAGGAAAAGATTTTTAACATCTGCAAATGCATCTTGTATCAGGACAGGGACAAAGAATGGGTGTAAACAATTGTTGTTATGCGAACATATTCTCCCATCCATGCCTCATCTATGCTGTAATGCCTGGTTACATAGAGATCATCCAGCTACTATACCTTTTTCTTTCCTCAAGGTGTTCATTGCAAGGTAATCTCTCCTTAGCGGGTTTTGCCTCATTTATTTCCAGGTGTAACATTTTCTCTGCAATATTTCCATTTTGTTCATTTAGAAGAGAAGCAGAATGGCCGCTGTCTTTGTGAACAACACCCATTGCTTCCCAGTCCAGGAGGACATCAGGAGGTGGAGATGGAGGGTTACTTAGTTCAGACTCAGCAGAAAGATCTTTTAGGAGCTGCAGCTGTGAGGAGTCAGTGGCCTGGTGAGGCATGCATGCATGGGTTGCAGCAGGGACTATCCAAGTGTCAGGCACTGGTAAGGATTCAGCAAACAGGATCCTGAACTCTTGGTCAAACGAGTCGATAATCTGTCCTCTCAGGACTGTGATGAGTTGCCGGTGCAGATGGACGTCACTCCATGTGAGGCTGAAGGAAAAACCAAAAAAATATTCTGGTAGCAGACTTTAAAGAGAGTTTAATCAGCTTTGCAATGAGTTTTCTTTTTTACCTGTAGCTGCCATGAATCACTGTCTCTAAATCCACCAGGATGAAATTGGATTTCACATCCCCAACCACCATCCTTCCAGTCCTCGAACAAAAGGTTTTCCCTCCAAGAATACGAGTCTTTATGTTCTATTAAAGAAAAATCTTAAAGTTAAATTTGTAGTGGCAAGAAAAGGAGCATCTCTCCTTTGAATATGTTGCTAAAACCAGATAATTAGACTAAAAATGTGATTTTTTTAAAGTTAAAAAGTTTTTTTTTAGCATTTGGTGGAATTGTCTCCTCTCACAAGTTTGTCTCTCGAAAGGAAAATTGTAGGTCAGAGTTAGATTTCAAGACATTTTAAAGCTTAAAATCCCAAACTCACCTAAGAACATTTATGTAAATTTCTGACTTCTAAAAAATAAGTCCAAAAATAGTGTTGTGTTTTTTTTTTATCAATCCTGCAAATCAAAACTGATTTATAATTTGCACTGGTCTGAAAATTAAAAATGTTGGCATTTCATTTGTTGGCAAACACAGAAGAAAGGTTGTAATTTATGTTACCCTGTTTAAATATCTGGTTACAACCTGCCTGCAATTTTAATTACACATAGAAATTGGACTTTAATCAATAAATCTATGTTATTTTAGGGCTATTTTACACATGAGTACCAAATCTAAACAATCCTAGATAGATATTGGTTGAAGTTATAAAATCAAATGACAAGAGGAATTTTCATTCCTCAGAAGTCTGGCAGAAGAGGAACATAAAAGAATGAAAACAATTCAAAGCACTCAGCTGAAAGGTTTCTGAGGAAATTAAAATGAGTACTTAGATATGACTATGGGGGTTACCACAGTTTAATCCTGCAGAACAACTTTGGGTTGACAAAATGAAAGGTAAAACTACACTTAACATACCAGCATGACAGCTCAGGCTGCAACCGGTCTGATAAATGTCCAGGTAGGTAAGTAGGTGCATTAAGAACTGAAATTTTAATTATCTTCATTCAACACAGCAGTTTGTTTCTGTTTGGAAATTAATGAGATTTCTTGAAGAAGATAATAAAACCAATAACCAAGAACTATTTTGTAAGTGCCAATTAACCTGTTTACATAAAAAAAAATACATAATTTGTTCAAGTTATCCATGCTAACTCAATCATCAATGACAAACAATCAAATTGTTCTTATAATTCATATCCAGTTTTTGCTATATTTCCTTTGGTATTCTAGTAATCTATTTTCACTGGTAGGCTTTGAGATTAATAGGCCTCTTTACATTTAATCTTTTATTAATAATGCCAGAGATTCTTTGTTAGACCTAAAGCAGTGCTATAGCTGAATCTCTCCAAAATATCAGCATTATTATCTTATATCTTATATTCTTTTTCTATTAACATAAGGGGTATGGATCATTATGGCTTAACTGTAGATGATGGATGGATGGATGGATGGATGGATGGATGGATGGATGGATGGATGGATGGATGGATGGATGGATGGATGGATGGATGATGGATGATGGATGAATGATGTATAGATAGATAGATGGATAGATGATGAATGGATGGATGGATGGATGGATGGATTGATGGATGGATGGATGGATGATGGATGATGGATGGATGATGGATGGATGGATGGATGGATGGATGGATGATGGATGGATGGATGGATGGATGGATGGATGGATGGATGGATGGATGGATGGATGGATGGATGGATGATGGATGATGGATGGATGGATGGATGGATGGATGGATGGATGGATGGATGGATGGATGGATGGATGATGGATGA